GAAATGACACTGGAAACCACATGATAGAATTTTGCAAGACCAACAACTTATTCATTGAAAATACCTTTTTTCAACAACATAAATGATGGTGTTACACGTAGACTTCACCAAATGGAATACACAGGAATCAGATCAGCTACATCTACAGAAAGAGGCAATTGGGTAGCTCAATATCTTCAGCCAAAACAAGGCCAGGAGCTGATTGTGGAACAGACCATTAACTGCTCATATGCAAGTTCAAGTTGAAGCTGAAGTTAAAACAATTCCACAAGAGCCAAAATATGACCTTGATTATACCCCCACCTGAATTTAGAGACCATTTGAAGAATAGATTTGATGCATTGAACACCAATGACCGAAAAGCAGATGAGTTGTGGGATGACATCAACAACATCATATATAAAGAAAGAAAAAGGTCATCACAAAGACAGAAAAGGAAGAAAAGACCAAAATGGATGTCAGAAGACACTCTGAAACTTGCTCTTGAACAGAGAGTAGCTAAAGAAAATGGAAGAACAAAAATCCTAACAACTGGACCAATAAGCGGCATCCTGATAAATAAAGAAAAGCTTGAAGTTGTCAAAGATTTCATATTATTTGGCTCCACAATCAACATCAATGCAAGCAGCAGTAAAGAAATCAGACAATGTATTGTACTGGACAAATCTTTGAAGACTAAGGTGTTCCTAACCCAAGCCATGGTATTTTCAATCTCCTCATATGCATGTGAAAGCTGGACAATGAATAAGGAAGACCAAAGAAGAGTTGATGCTTTTGAGTTGTGGTGTTGGCAAAGAATACTGAAAGTACCATGAAGTGCCAGAAGAACTTACAAATCTATCCTGGAGGAAGTGCCACCAGAATGCTCTTTGGAAGAGAGGATGGCCAGACTTTGTCTCACCTACTTTGGTCATGTTGTCAGAAGGAATCATTTCCTGGAGAAGGATATCATGCTTGGTAAAGTGGAGGATCAGCAAAAAAGAGGAATGCCCTCAATGAGATGGATTGACACAATGGCTGCAACAATGGGCTCAGGTATAGCAAGGATTGTGGGGCTGGCACAGGACTGGGCAGTGTTTCATTCTATTGTACATAGAGTATGAGTTGGAGCTGACTCAATGGCACCTAACAACAACAACAATATGGCAGGAAATAGAGTTAAGGCAGAACAAATAATAAGGAAAGTGCTTGGAGAGACACTGTAAAACATATATCAGTAAAACATAATGTCTGAGTGGCAATGGGGGAAGAAGAGGAAATATTTAAGAAGATTCTGGGGTTCTGAGTCTTCATCACTGACTGCAAGAACCAATCCTCTCCCTGTACTATTTCTCACAATTGCAAGAGAAGAATAGAAAGTTATCACAAAAAAAGAAAAAGATCCAAATCCTCCATAGATGCAGGAAACATTGGAATTGGGAGGAGGAGCTGCTTTGGAGATCAGGAAGGTGATGAGGACAGGCAGAAGCTGATACCAGTGATCAAGCAAGTTTGAATGCCACCCAGCCAGACAAGGGCATCTCAGGCCTCCAACCTTTATGTCAGACTCAACATGATTCCTGCCAGTAACCTGCTGAGAGGCAATAAGGAACAAGTTGTAGACTTTATGGCTGTCTTTTATTTGTTTGTTTTAATATAAACCTCAAAGTGTGTTGATGTACCCTAGACTACTTATTTTGAGTTATTATAGCTTTGTATGTATCAGACAGTATTTCACTACTATTCATAAGGTTTTCACTGGCCAGTTCTTTGAGAAGTGAATGGCCCCTTCCTTTTTCTGCTTCAGCACAATTAAAGTGTTAGGGAATCCCCATTCTTTGCAATGCTATCCATGATTTGTTATGATCCACACAGTCAATTGTCTTTGCATAGTCAATATAACACAGGTAAACATCTTTCTGATATTCTGTGCTTTCAGTCAAGATCCATCTGACATCAGCAATCCCTCATTCCACATCCTTTTCTGAATCTGGCATTCCTCGTGGATATACTGGTATGACTGTGTTTGAATTATCTTCAGCAAAATTATACTTGTGCATGATATTAATGATATTGTTTAATAATTTCCACAGTCTGTTGGACCACTTTTCTTTGGAATGGGCACAAATATGGATTTCTTCCAGTCAGTAGGAGCTCCGGTGGCATAGTGTCTGTGGTAGTTTGGTTTGTGTGTCAACTTGGCTGGGCCTGGTTGAGTGGCAGGCAGCTGGTGGTAGTTAATCCCCATGAGAAGACTGGCAATCAGCTCCATGGTGGGATCTACCACAAGCAGCTGGGTAGCTGCCTTTGGGTATGTGGTCTGCTTCCCGTATATAAGGAGAAGCCATTGGGAATGGTCTCTAGCCTTTGGCATGCTTGGACCCTCCATGTAGCCATGTCATTGCTCAGCAGCCTGCTATGCTCTGCCAACCTTGGGACTTACAGTGGAATTAAGTTAATGGCCTGCCGTGTGGATTGGGAACATTGGGACTGTGCCTTTTTACTTGTCAACCTTGGGGCTTCTCAGCCTCAGCAGCCAACAGCTGTCTGAGTGAAGAAATGCCTCTAGTTTCAGTGGGTGGGAGCAGGAGGCAGAGCTGGACCCCAAGGTTGAGGGGCTTTCACCCAACCCCTAGAGCCTGGCACTTTGAACTTGGACTTAAAGCCTCCAAATTGTAAGAATAAACTCCTGTTTGTTAAGGCCATTCCATTTGTGGTATATTTCTTGTCAGAGTGGCACTAGGTAACCAGAACAGCCTAAGACATTTGACCACTAACCAGAAGGCTGGTGGTTCAAACCCACCAGCCACTCCTCAGAAGGAAGGTTGGGCAATCTACTTCCGTAGTGATGCTGCCTTGGAAACCCAAGGAGGAGTCACTATGAGTCAAATCCTACTCGACGGCAATGGGTCCAGTCAGTTGGTCAGGTAGCTCTCTTCCAAGTTTCTTGGCATAGGCAAGTGAATACTTCCAGCATTGCATTGTTTGTTGAAAACCACAGTTGTTATTTCTTCAATTCCCGGAGCTTCTCCAGTGCCTTCAGTGCACCTTGGACTTCTTCCTTCAACACCATCATCAGTTTTTGATCTTCTGCTTCCTACTAAAATGGTTCAATCAACCAATTTTTTTTTTTTTTTTTTTTTGGTACAGTGATTCTGTGTATTCCTTCCATCTTCTTTTGAAACTTTCTGAATCATTCAATGTTTTACCCACAGAATACTTCCATATTATAACTCAAGGCTTGAATTTTTCTTCAGTTCCTTCAGCTTGAGAAAATGCTGTACGTGTTCTTTCCTTTTGGTTTTCTAACTCCAGGTCTTTGCACTTTTCACTCTAATACTTTGTGCTTTAGAGCCATCCTTTGAAATCCTCTATTCCACTCTTTTACTTCATCATTTCTTCCATGTGCTTTAGCTTTTTTTCATTCAAGAGCACATTGAAAGACAGGAATGTCTTATTCTTAGCCACATTAAAATGTAAGTAAAGACAAGGTCAGAAATGACAGTTGTGTGGAGATGAGGACTCAGTGCCACTGAGTCAGTTTCAATTCATAGTGACCCTGTGTACAACAGAATGAAATACTGCCTAGTCCTGCACCATCCTCACAACTGTTGTCATACTGTTGCTCATCATCACTACCACTGTGTCAATCCATCTTATTGAAGCTGTTCCCTTTTTTGCTGACCCTCTACTTTATCCTGGCAGCTCTGGTGGCATAGTGCCTAAGGCATTTGACTGCTAGCCAGAAGACAGGAGGTTCAAACTGATGAGCCATTCCTCAGAAGGAAGGTTGAACAATCTATTTCCATAGTGATACTGCCTCAGAAACCCAAGGAGAGGTCACTATGAGTCAGATCAACTTGACGCCAGTGAATTTTTTTGTTGTTGTTGTTTCTACTTTACATAGCTTGATATCCTTCTCAATGGATTTGTTCTTTCTGACAATATAACCAAAATATAAGAGATGAAGCCTGGCCATTGACCCTTCTAAGGAGTATTCCAGCTGTACTTCTTCCAAGACAGATTTGCTCATTATTCAAGCAGTCCATGGTACATTCAATATACTTTGCCACCACCACAGTTCAAAAGCACCAGTTCTTCTGTGGACTTCCTTATTTATCATCCAGCTCTCACATGCACATGAGGCTATTGAAAATACCATGGCTTGGGTCAGGCAAACCTTAGACTTCAAAGTGACATCTTTGATTTTGAAGATTTTAAAGAGGTCTTTTAGAACAGATTTGACATTCAACTTAACGAATTGCTTGATTTCTAGACTGCTGCTTCCCTGGTTGTTGACTGTGGATCCAAGCAAAATGAAATCCTTCAATCTTTTCTCCATTTCTCATGACGTTGCTTCTTGGTCCAGTTGTGAGGATTTTTGTTTTCTTTATGTAGAGGTGTAATCTATACCAAAAGAGGTAGACTTTGATCTTCATCAGTAAGTGCATCAAGTTCTCTTCTCTTTCAGAAAGCAAGGTTATGTCATCTGCATATTGCAGATTGTTAATGAGTCTTCCTCCAAGGATTGCATACTGGGAAAATAATCCCTAATTCTTTCCTCTTCCCCAGCCATTGCCAATCAGTTATACAAGTATTTTATGCAAACATTTTGAATATACAGACACTGGCATTTGGGAGACATATAGGATTTTTTGGACTCTATTCCCTTCCTGTTTCCTTAACCATCCCCAGCTCCTGAGAAAAAGGTTCCAGGAAGCATCCAACATGCAAAATAGAAGAAAGAAGTAAGAAATTCTTATTTTGACATCGAACTTTTGGCTGTTCACATGCCACACCTACTTACCCTTTTTTAAAGACTCATCAAAAGTCACTTTTTCATGACTTCTATCAGCATTCTCAAGCAGCACTAATGGTCCCCTTAACTAATGCTCCAATAGCTTTATGCACATTTTTGTCTCAGCATTTATGACTTTCAATTATAGTTGAATTCTATCTGTCTTCAGGGCCAGACAAGGAGCCCATGGGTCATGGGGGTGGTAGGAGATGGAGAGGCTTACTTGATGAGATGAGGCACACACTCAATGTTGGCTGTTTTTGAGGTGAAAGGGGATGCCACGGATGCCTCCTGCTCTGATAGCGAGATGCCTGCATGAGCCATTTTCAAAGCCTGGAATGATAAATTTTTGTTATACCAGCAACTCCTCAGACCAAGCTTTAACTATTCAAACATTAGGAGGCTAGCCTTCATCTTATTGAGCTATCACACAGTGCTCTTCCAACACTGGGCCTCTGTTTATACTATTCCTCTACATGCAATACCCTTCCTTCTTGGTCCACAAAATCACCAACTAAAAGGCACCAACTAAGCAAAGATCCAGAAGTGAAAGAAGGGCAAGTGTGTGCATATGCATGTGTATTGGTTGTGGTAATGTGGCTATGATAATAAAAAAAAAAAAAAAAAATAGAAGCACTCATTCAAGAAGTCTATTTAAAAAAAAAAAAAAGAATTTGGGTGGGCTTTGTTAGGAGACCCTCACTAACATGCTTTCTATAATTAGCAGGCCTTCTTTGTGAACAATAGAAAAAGATACCTAATCCCCAGTTTTCCCCAGGCTACCTGGTCCATCCACCTAGTTAACTGCTAGGATTGACCCAGCATCATGCCCAGTGTAGCAGGGGATGTACAGCATCCTCACTGAGACACAGACCAGATGACATTTGCCAGCCTGTGTATTGCCTGACTGAAATAAGGCTTATGTAATTCTCATCAAGGCTGAGAACTGTCCAGAGAGTACAGGTAGCAGACAGTGACCAGCAGAACAGGTCAGCAAGCTCCTAATCCTATAAGAGTTGTGTGTATACAAAATGAGAATTTACATTTTTAGAGTTCTGAACAATGACAAAATACCTGACATTATGGTTGGTTCATACTAGATTTGTAATCAGAAAATATAAGATTATTTACTTATTTATCTTTTCTTCCTTAGGATTTTGTGTCTACATTATATTATTTAAGGTTAGTTTTATGCATGATTCTGTCCCTCATCAGACAATGAACTCTTGGGGCCAAAGACTATGCCCTTTTGTTACAGATTTCTTTCTTTTCTTCTAGCCTCCACATAATTAATGGGAATGGATATTCCTTCCAGAGTTGGAAGACTAGACTAACAAGCAACTTCTTCTCAAGAAGGGTAGGCAGAAAAGTTAATAATAATCTCTAAACATGATTATAGTTTTTCATAGAACTTTAGAGAAAATATTTGAGATAGTTGTAAAATAATACCTAGATCTTAGATATTTAGCTCACTAAATCAAAGCACTCTTCTTCACTTCTTGTCCCACAAAGTAGCTTCTAAAATGTTTTCTTATGCACATAATTTTCAAAATTGGCTAGTAATCCAACCATATCTTGAAAACTCTGATTATAAAAGATGTACTGCATTCTATTATATAGGAAAAATAATCTTTTGAGAATCAGTTAATTTTAAATGTAGTTATATCTACCTGGACAATGTTGTTGTTGTTTGCCATCAAGTCGGCCCCGACTCATAGCAACCCCTCCTTGGGTTTCCGAGGCAGTATCACTATGGAATTAGGATTGCCCAACCTTCCTTCCAAGGAGTGGCTGGTGGGTTTGAACTGCCAGTCTTCTGGTGAGCAGTCAAGTGCCTTAGGCACTATGCTACTAGAGGTTTTCTTATTGCACATAGTAATCCTAGACCAACAACATTGGTCTAGGACTTCACTTAGTGTAATAGTTTTGGGGGAAAGCCAACTTTGAAAAACTAATCCTGCAGTGAAGATTTGGCAAGAATAAACACAATTTACACATAATCCAAAAACTTTAATCATCAAAATTTTCCTTCACTAAGACTTTACCAGGTATGTGACCTTATGGATAACATGAGAGATTCAAAACGATTAGCACTGTAAAGTTCCTCTGGTTCTAAAATATAGGAGACTGTCTTTATTATTCTAAGAGGTGCAAGAAAACAATTAAAGTCACTCACCTCACCTTACTCCTGTCTGCCAACCCACACTCAAGTAGAGGTACATATAAGCAGAAAAATGATCAAGTGGTTGCCAGTAGAAGGGTGAAGAGGCAGACCCTGGGGGACTGCGGTGCTCAGGAGGGATACTAGTGACCTGCCAGCATTAGTAAGAGTCATTTCTACTCACCCCACAGTCATTAGCTCCATCTCCACACATGCCCACATAATAACTGGAGGGAAAAGATAAGAAAAATTAATAGATTAATGTCTCATTTGAATAATTTCCATCATAACTAACTCACATGGTATGTATGTGTGTTCTCCTGAACACATGTATACTCAGGGTGAAGAGAAATAACAGGAGGAGGAGTATTCCCAGAGATATAAGGCCATCACATTATTTATATTGTTTACATTCAAATAGTGATGCTGCCAAGGTCCTCCACAGAAATGGTGATCTCACGTTTCAAAAGAAGTCTTGTCTGACTATATCCACCAAGAGTGAACTTAATAGTATATGGTCGTAATCACAACACTTTCTATATGACCTGATCAAAGATCATAACCTAATCCAGCTATGTTTTGGTTGCTGACTGTTGTTGAGAGTTTAGAGTTCAGACACTAGGATGAGGGGCTAGGGAGTAGTTAACAGATATAACCAGGTATGTATATACATATTCTTGATGTGTCTGGGAGTGAAAATGAAAAAATATGCTTCCTGTCTATATCAGTTTGATGTGAAAACAATGATATAAATAGAAAATAAAAATTAGGGCTGTTGCCAAAGAAAATGAATTTCTGATGAAAGACACACTTCATCTTCTAAGTAAACAGTATATTATAGGCATTGATTAAGAGCAAAGCCTCAGATGTAATTTGCCAAAAACATAAAATAACAAAATCTATAAGGGGGAAAGGGTGAAGTTCTCATAAACTTTCTTTATTATCGGTTGACACATAAGAAATGCCATTTTTACAGGTCAAAAATAGTCAAATGTGGACAAAGTCATGTAGTTTAACCTACTTTTTTGTTATTATAATGAATAAACCAGATGTTGTCAAGTTGATTGTCACTCGCAATGACCCCATGTGTGCCAGAGCAGAACTGTGCTACATAAGAGTTTTCAGTGGCTGATTTTTTTGAAGTAGATCTCCATGCCTTTTTTTCTGAGGTGTCTCTGGGTAGATTATAAAGTCCAACCTTTCAATTAGTAGCTGAGTGTGTTAATCTTCACACCCAGAGAGTCCATTATAGATGAATATCATTATTGATGAATATCATGTACATATATCATGACCACACATTTGTTGAAAGATGGCTTCCTTTCTTCAGGCTTAACATACATATCTAATCTCTATATCACATAAGGAATCTTTTCTCTTCTAGTGTTTCCTAAATTCAGAAGGAGAATTCAGACAGCGTTATGCACATTGCCAACGATAAAGCAATGAATGAGAAGGAAGACCAGGGACTTGTTTGAGAAGATAACTCACTCTAAGGCAGTATGTGTCTTTCTGAATGGATTTTCTTTGGGAACTATAGGTTCTCAAAATTAAGCATTTAAGTTGGCAAAATATCTCAGGTGTTTGAGAAGGGTAAAATTACTTTCTTCAACTAACATTGTATAATGACCATGTGCGTGAAGGAGTCATTTTTCACACTAGTTACCAATCCACCTCAAGGCATTATGGGAGTTAATAGGATTTTATTTTTTGAGGCTTCTCTAAGAATGTTTGGGCAACAAAAATAATAGTACAAGACAATCTCCTAATTTAACCTACTACTTATCAGCAACTATCTAAAGTTTCACTATTCTCTGTTCCAGAAGGCTGCAGCCCCATAAATTATAACACTCTGAGCAAGGAATAGGTAAGTCTGCATCAAGAGGAACCATTTCATTCTGATGTAACTTGGTCATCTGTATTTGTGAGGGAGATAGAAAAGAATTTTCTTTAAATTTGACCTCTTCACTCAATCTCTTCCAGGGCCAGATAAAGTGAAAATGCCATTCCACTTATTTCCAAGACCAAATCAAACCCACAGCCATCAAGTCAATTCTGACTTACAGCAACCCCCATAGGGTTTCCAAGGCTGTAAATCTTTATGGAAGTAGATTGCCCCATCCTCTTCCTGCAGAGCAGCTGGTGGGTTTGAACCACTGACTTTCTGGTTAGCAGCCAAGTACCTTACCCACTATTCCACCAGAGCTCCTTTATTTCCAAGAGGACCTGGAATTATTCACATATTTTCTAATGGACCAATTTTAAATAATTTCAGATGACAATTTATATACTTCCCCAATTTTCTAATTACAAACTATGCAAATCACCAATTATTTCTTCTATCTACATTCGAGGAATCTTCCTCTAAGATACGCTTTAAGTGCCACAGAACAAATACTCTTGATAGTAGGCAGCTTTTAATATTCTCCTAATAATCATTACTTCCTGGTATTCATGCCCTTCTGTAATCCACTTTCCCTGAGTGTAGACAGAGATCCCTGGGTAGTACAAATGGTTTTGTCTTGACTACTAAAAGGTTGGCAGTTCAAACCTACCCAGCAGCATTGCAAAAGAACAACCTGGCAATCAACTTCTGTAAAGATTACAGCTAAGAAAACCCTATGGGCTTTTTTTTTTTTTTACTGCTCTGTAACACATAGGATCACCATGAATCAGAACCTACTAGGCAGCATCTGGTTTTTGTTTTTTATTTTTACTGTGGGCTAGACTTAAAGGCTTGCTTATAATGAAGAAAATGCAACAAAAATGATAGGATATCACCTGTGGGGTTAGGTTATAAAAAAACCCTGCAACATCTGTCTTGTTCTCTTATCTTCCTCGTGGATTCTTCTTGTTTGCTCCTTCTTCTGGAAGCCAGCCACTACACGATGAGCTTCCTTTTGAAATGGCCCATACGGCAAGAACTAAGAGACACTTCTGTCCAATAACCAATAGAAAACTGAGGTCCTTAAGCCAACAGCCCATAGAAACCAAATCCTGCCAACAACCATGTGAATAAAGTTGGTGGCAGATCCTTCCCTTGTCAAGTGCTGAGATGACTGTAATCTTGGCTGTCTCCTTGATTACAGCCTCATGACACATCTGGCATGAGAGCACTCAGCTAAGCCACACCTAGATTTCTGACCCACCAAACCAAAACCAAACTCACTGCTATCAAGTCGATGATGACTCATAGGGACCCTCATTGGGTTTTCGAGGCAGTAAATCTTTATGGAAGTAGATTGCCCCATCTTCCTTCCACAGAGCAGCTGGTGGGTTTGAACCACCAAGCTTCTGATTAGCAGTCAAATCCCTCATGCAATACACCATGAGAGCTCCCTTCCTGACCCACAAAAAATGTGAAATTATAATTTTTGGTTGTTAAGCCACTAATTTTGGGGGAAATTTGTTATGCACCACTAGATAACTATTACGTCTTCCTTTTATGCAATAAAACCTACTTTAATTTCTGAAATTCTTCAATAAGACTTGATTTCTGCCCAGGAGACATTCTTGCAAAAATGGTTCCGTTCACCAGAATCTAGAGAGAAAAAATATCAGTACAATAAGATTAGGAAGAAGATGCACTTTTTAAATAAAAGAACAGCCATGAAAAATTACTTCTAGTTACTGCTTTAATATAGCATTGGGTGGTATATCTTTAGACCAAATGTTGGCAAAGGAATTAGGGGATGTAATGCTTTAATATTTAACTTTCACTTTAAGTCCTCCATCACAACTCTATTCCCTGTTTCCATACCACTTTTCCAAGATAGGGTAACCTCTAATTAATAATAATAATAATAAAAAGAAGAAGAAGAAAAATACTAAAGGAAATGCAATTCTTTTTACTAAACACTGCCTCCATTAGCACAGCAGACACAGGAGAAAGAACAAGGGCTGGGAGTTGAGTAACAAGATTCTATTCTCCGATGTCTCAAGTAGCTATGCAAATGTTAAGCAAGGCACCAAACCTCTCTGAGTCTCAGCTCTCCCATCTCTACAATGAGGGACAGGACTAAGACCTTTTTAAAAAAGCCTTTGGTGTCTAGATTCTTTGGTCCTTAATTTGCAGGGTTTCAGGGTTCAAGACACTGCCAAAAGATGGTTGCTACCCTCAGTTTGTGCTCCATTATCTTCTCCATCCTGACAGCAAACCCTGTACATCACTATTTTAAAATAGGACACACAGAGGACAAGATAGCAAATGATTTTGAAAATAAACTGTGGAGTTTATTTTCCTCCTATAATTTAAGAATTCAGATGGGAAGCCTGACATGAATTGGTGGCTTTGAGAGAGAAGCTGACTCACGAAATAGGCAGCATGTTTGGAACTATCTGGAGGTTCTTTCTCCTTGATGCGGAAAGGATGAATGATGGAGGCTGAGTTTGGACTAGCCACAGGGTTTAAGGGACATATCAGAATGGAAACTGAGAAGGGGAGGCTATGGCATATGTGTAGGACCAGGAAGGCATGGGCTGGGCCAGGAAAGTTCTGAAGGAGCAGTGTCCCTTTGGAGAGAAGAAGATGCACTTTTTAAATAAAGGAACAGCCATGAAAAATCACTTCTGGTTACTTCTGGTTTATTCTCTAACTCAAAGACCACCACACTCATTACGTTCACCACTTTCCTCCCCTTGTTTAGCTCACTAATTTGATGGGCAAAACAAAACTCTTCATGTCCTCAGTACTTACTTTTGGAAGCAAGCTGTAGAAATGCTGAAATATGACTTGATATGATTTCCCACTCATTGCAAAATGGTAGCAGTTCCCTCCTTCTTTATCAAGTACTGAATGGTTTCCAGTGTTAATATAGGTTTCCTAAAAATCAGAAGGGAGTTATTTCTACATTGGCCCTTAATGATTGTTTCTGCTTTCCTATGTTTCACAGGAGAGTGAGCATTCATGTGACATAACAGTGTAAAGGTCAGGAAATTCATATGTGTAATTTGTTCATGAAACTTCAACCCGAGTGGAGAAGACACTCAAAATGTGCTTCTCCCTCCATTACAGAAAAATATGACATGTGGTTCTGAACCCTCTACTGGGAGAAAAATGTATGGCAACAGTCTACTGAGGAGATCATCCCAAGGTACCAATTAGTGACTCCAAGGAAAAACAGGAAATATTCTTTCCTCCTCTTTCTTCTCCTCACACAAACTTTTATTTCCTAAGATCTCTTGCCACTTATTCATTCAAAAATAATCCACCAATTTCTTCTATGTTAAAGTAAACATATTCTCTAGGACCTAATTCACTTTAACATCTCCACTCTTCCCAACCCTGAGAGGAATCTCCTTCTCACTTGGTTCCCAGGTCCTTTTCCACTTCCTTGTCTCCACTGTACCATCATGACTCCTTTTCTGAAATCATTCCCCTCCCATCTTTCATTTCCATCTGCCAATATACTCCTACCACTGTGTTCTAGCCCCACCTGGCCCCCAGCTAGGGGAGGGAGAAAGTATCTGATGAATGTATATGCACAAACATGGCAATTGCTGACAATGGCTTTCCATGCAACATTTCTCAGACAGCTTTATATTTGTTTGGGCCTCTGAACTCAAATAGTATAGAAGGTGAGACAATTGTATTCATTAGAGGAATTACTCTTAGGGAAAGCATTGTATTTGGAAGAAAAACATTTTGATACAATGAACTGGGAGGCATATTTTGATGTGATGAATTGGGACACTTTTTCCCTTCTACCTCCAATTACAAAACAACTAGCAAAAGACATGCTCTAAAGCATTCCACATGACACAAGGACAGGAATTCCTTTGCTTTTGCCAGTAATGAAAGGCGACAGGAAGTGAGAGGAAGAGGAAGGCCTGACATGGTGATGTAACTTCTCCCAGTTATCAACAAACTTCAATACAGGCAAAAACTCATAAATAGGTAGTATGACTGGATGGTTTGTTAAAGTTAATGAAGGACCTGAGTTTTGTCACACAGTGAAATCATAGCAACTTGCATTGATGCAGAAGAAATAAGTGAGTTTATAAGAAAATAAATACCAGAAATCTGCTGAAAGCAGAGATAGCTGTTGTCTTTCACAGCCAATGCTTTTGGGGATTGAGTCAATTTGTCAATTTACCCTGCTTTTTTTTCAGGGCAGGCCCAGGGCCATTCTGTAGATTGTGCAGTTTGTGTACCTCACAACAGCACATGATTGCACAAAGGCCCACTCTACACTCAGTCTGATGTGCTCATCAGCCTGGAGGAAGGGGTGCCTTTCTGGAATTTATCCACCTCTAAGGCCATCTCTTTGAATTCACACAAAGGCACTCTGAGTGCTAGCTGGAATGACAGCAAATTAAAGAGCTGTCCTGTCTCAGGAGCACAAGAAGCTTGTTATCTGAGAGACAACACTGTGAAATTCACGTCCCAGGTACACTACTATCTCAATGTCTTTGGATTTGTGTGGAATCTAACAACTGAGTTTGACTTTTTCCTCAGCAACTAACAAACTTTGAGTCTTGGGCAAGCTTAACCTCTCTGAGCCTCTGTTTTCTCATTTGTAAAATGAAGACATTGTCTAATTGCATAGAGCTTCTCAGCCACAAGTGCACACTGGAATCACAGGAGAAGTGGCTGATGCTAGCTAGCCCCCCTCATCCCCACTCTAAGATTCTGATATTGGTGCAGTCTGGGCCTCAGGACCCTTACAACCCCCCGCCCCTGGTGATTTTAACAAGCAGATAGGGTTGAGAAGTGCTGGTGAAAATGCTTTGCAAATTACAACTCTGGACAAATGCAAGGAATTTTTATGGTGACAACACAGAGAGCAGAGAGGAGGCTGCTCAGTGCCTGCTGGCTGCATTCCTCCAGCTCAGAACCACGGCAGGGCCTCTCTAACACATGCTCACATTCTTCCCTGTTCCCTTCTCTTGGTTTTCAACCAGCTGCCAGGTCACAGAGGCAGGAGCAAACTCTTCTGGTTCATTGGCTTCAACAAGGATCACTTGGCTTTCTCGAGGAATCATCCCGGAATTCTTTGCAACAGTAATGGCAGTTTGAAGATTGTCACCTAGATAACAAAGAAAGTCAGCTAGCTGAATATGTATAAATACCCTTCCTCTGAATGTCCCTAGCACTTTGCTTTGTGCTATTTGGGGGCATTTATCACTGTTCCCTTATACCTTCTCCTCACTTACTGACATGGTTAGGTTCTAAAGACCAGGTCGTTATGCGAAAATTGGTATTGTGTGAAAACGAAAGATGACCACGTCAAGACCACAAAAGGAAGGATGGTTACATAATTATATAACTGCCAAATCATATCATTGTATAAGTGCCAAAGCACTGAAAATTATGGCCCAGCCCAGTTGGCACATAACCTTAACCATCACAGCCAATGTTAATCTCCCCTTGTGCCTCGGCATTTGTTACTGCCACATGAATGTTGTTAATGCATGAAATATTTTACTATTGTTGTAAATGTGAAATGTCAGATGAGATAGTAAGTGAGGAATAGGTATATTTTATAACCATTTATCTTCTCCTCTGCCCAAGATTGCCTGTCCCTAACAGGAGACACCAAGTCTGTATCTCCCTCACTCAATATTTAGTATTATGTCTTGTCTGTTGTATATTTCCAGAGCATGCAGGAATGAATAAATATTTACATATTCAAGTACTTTATAACTAATCTTCAGGAAACAGACAGCTCTTAGTGGTGAAAATAACATGGCTCTACTCTGAAACCATAAAAGCCATCCTCAGGATCTGGATTCTAGTTAAGGAGAGAAAAGAACTTAGTGTCTGGTTGTGTTTGGGTGAGGTCACATGCTATATCTGGCCCCACTGCCATGAGGATAGTCAATCATATTCCTAGTCCTTTGCACTGAAGTCTCATTGGGATTCTTGATGAGAAGACATCCAGTCTTATGCTTAAACATTTACTGTGGATCTATTAGCACTGCACAGACCCTGGAGTAGGAGTGGACATTAGGCAAGAAAATGGGACAGGTCCTACTTCTGAAGCCATACATGTTCCCAGTGAGAGGACCACAGTCTAATAAACTCTATAGTAGGTGTTCTTTTTCTTTTCTTTCTTTCTGCTTTGGTCACTTGAACTCACTTGGTTATCTCTATCTTCTTATGCCTAGGATACATTCAGCATGTTAACCTCCAGAAACGCATACCTGTAATCATTACAGTCCTGATGCAGGCCTCTCTCAGTTCCTTCAAGACTGGTTTGGTTTCCTTTTTCAAACGATTTTCCATTATGAGAAGTCCCAGAAATGTTAACTCTGACTCCACCTCATCCCTTCGGATGCAGGAGAAAATCAATATTAAAGTAGATCTATGTAATGTCAAGGAGCTCTGGTGGAGTAGTAGATAAGATGCTTAACTACTAACCAGAAGGTCAGGGGTTCAAACCCACCACCTGCTCTGGAGAAGGAAGACAGGGAGATTTACTTCCATAAAGATTTATAGCCTTGGAAACCGAATGTGAGTAGCTATGAGTCAGAAACAACTCAATGGCAGTGAGTTTATTTTTTTATTATTATTTTTTTTTAATGTAGTGTCAAAGTCAGAAACCCAAGGAGGGGTCGCCATGAGTCAGGTCCGACTCGACAGCAATTAACAACAAACAAACAACAGTGTCAAAGGAGCTCTGGTGGCTCAAAAAAGCATTCAGCTGCTAACCAAAAGGTTGGCAGTTTGAATCCACCAGGAGAAAGATGGAAAGATGAGGTGGTCTGCTTCTAAAAAGATTTACAGCCTTGGAAACCTTATGAGGCAGTTTATTATGTCCCATAGGCTTGCTATGAATAGAATCAACACAATGGCAGTGGGATGTTTTTTGGTGGTTGTCCCTTGTTTGTTTGGTTTTTGAAATAGTATCAAGGAGTACTGGATGGCACAAATGGTTAAGACTCGACTACTACCTGAAAGGCAATTTAAACACACCTACAAGTGCTTCTGAAGAAAGGCCTGGTGATCTACTCTGCACACGTTAGTTAGAATCAACTTGAGGGCAACTGTTTTTTTTTTTTTTTTTTTCTCCCTCATTATGCAAGGTCAACAAATTGATTGTTTTTTCTTTTTAAAAATCATTTATAATTTTTATTGATGTGATACATGCACACGTAAAAACTCAAAAAGAACCCAAAAGCTTAAATAAAAGCTAATAGTTCTTGTCTCCGCATCACCTCACTCTTTTCTCCTTCCTAGAGGCCACAACTTTTAAATCTTGTAGCTGTTGCTTCTGGTTTTCAACTTTTTTTTTTTCCTTTTTTTTTTTAAATGTGCTTCTCTTCCAGCTCTTCTGTGGTTTTTAAAACTTTTGTTATTCATATATTTTTAAAAAATTTCCAACATCTCTTTTTTTCCTCAAGATTATAATCATTTCAGTAGATCAGACATTTATTAAGTATGTATTATATACAAGACAGGAGCTCTGGCAGCATAGTGCCTAAGGCACTTGACTGCTCACCAGAAGGCTGGCGGTTCAAACCCATCAGCCACTCCTCGGAAGGAAGGTTGGGCAATCCTACTTCCGTAG